ATGAAAGCTGAGACCATCCTGAGGAAAGCAAAATACTGCCAAAAGGCAAAAACGGCTTTACTCTCTAACGGTAAACCCATCAAGTTGCCAGATTATAATTCTGCTGCTTAGTCATTATGCTCCAAAGAGGTATGATTAGCCTCACCAGGACAATGGCTCTCTATAAGTAAGATATCCAGGGTTTACCATCCTTGGAGGTCACCTTGATACTATTATTGCCAAATCTATATGTACAGAGTTAGTTCCCTACACAAGGAGGTATTTAATCATAGCTCTGTAATTTTCTTCAAAACAAACAGTAATACCCCAAACATGTAAAATGTATTCCGAGAACAACTGCCCTTGTTCTATGTCCTTTGTATAGGTTATTCTACTGATTCAGTATCACGATCATGGAATATACTAAAGAAAATAGATTTGGTGTTGCTTATCTATTCATTTTAACCCCATTTCCCTCATTCCATATAGTATAAATGCATCTGAGAGACAGCTAACTATAAAGAATGAGGACAGGGACAATGGACTGCAAAGCTGGTTGATGCAGAGTCCAACTCACAAGCATGACATGGTAGCCAATTTAGCTAAATGGACACAGGTTGAATTAACCTGACCTTTATGCTTTAATGTCCTAATTTGTACAATAGGTACCATCTGCCCAGCTGAGTCCTGAGCTGCTAACAATAGGATTTGAAGAGTTTAAGATTTGAGACAAAAATGAACCAAAATCCAGAATAAATCCTACTTTTACTTAAGCCCAAAAGTGAACCTCCATCCTCTGTTTAAAAGGAAAACACAAGCGTTTCCAAAAAAAAAAAAAAAAAAAATACAACCAGTAAAGGCACTACAAAAAGAGAACGACTTTCTAAAAATCATTAAATCGAATCTTAAAATTTAAATCCCTAGTACATCACAGGAACAGTATAAATATAAACACAAACTAAATGAAGAAATGTACAAGTCATCTTCATGTTATCTGGTAAATCTCATGTAAGATACACTTCAATAAAATCCCCAAAGGCCAGCTATTGGAAATTTAAAACAGAAAGGATGCTTGGTAGTGGAGGAGGTGGGAGGTGGGGAATGGGTGGTTGATAAAGACAAAAATAGTAAAAGGTTGAGACTGAGAGGGCACGTTTTAAAGGGCACCATGTGTAGGATTTAGGGCTGCCATAATGATATGCTTGGGTGAATAAAAAGTATGGGGTAAGAATTCATGGGCAATGATCAAGAGAAAAAGTTATTTGGCTAGATCATGAAGTAAACATTGCATCTGGCAAGGAATAGAGAACTCTGAATGCCTAAAAGTGTTTGGAATCTGTTCTGTAAGCAATACGGAGTCAATAAAGGTTTCAGGCAGGATGACAGAGCCAAGGCTGTCCTTTATCTGTCTCTTACAAGGTCTAAATCAGGCCAGGTGTGGTGGCTACACCTGTAATCCCAGCACTTTGGGAGGCTGAGGCAGATGGTTCACAAGGTCAAGATTTCAAGACCAGCCTGACCAACACGGTGAAACCCCATCTCTACTAGAAATACAAAAATTAGCCAGGCGTGGTGGCATACGCCTGTAATCCCAGCTACTCAGGAGGCTGAGGCAGGAGAATCACTTGATCCTGGGGGACAGAGGTTACAGTGAATGGAGATGGTGCCATTGCACTCCAGCTTGGGAGACAGAGAGAGACACTGTCTCAAAAACAACAACAACAAAACAAGGTTTTAACTCAAATGTGCCTAAATTCTGCAAAGTTATTTTTCATCTGAGTAGACAATTCATAACATTAGTGCTAAAAAGATCACAGCAGCAAAACAGGACTCTTTGATTCAATAATTTAGTTGTAATACCTGGGAACAGAGAATTCTAATATCGTTCTTATTGTGTACTCTGAAGCCAGACTGCCTGAGTTCTAATTCCAGCTCTGTCATTTACTGCATCTTAGGGCCAATAACTTATATCACTCTATGTTGTCATTTCCTTATCTAGAAAATGGGAAGGGGATAATTATATGACCTACATCTCAGAGTTCTGTAAGAACTCAAGTGAGTGAATCCATGTACACTGCTTTAGAACAGTGTCTGGCACAAAGAAGCTTCCTTCAAATTATGCTGATACAACCACTTCTATGCCACACTCTTTGGCATCTGATAAATGTTATTGTAACATTTCATATAAAGTAAGAATATTGATTCTGCCTTTGTAGGGGGAGTATCTGTGTGGGAAGGGAGACAACGGAGGAGTCAGATTTTTCCATTGCTGTCCTTCAAAACCACAAGCTAAAAGCTATATACCTAGGTGAACACTTTCCATTTCCAATAGGCCTCAACCATTTTTCCCTTCTTGATGGTTTAGAATGGTTCCCAGGCACACGTGTAATTAAAATTCATTATCTTAAAAAACTGCTTTAGGAAATGCAGCAATCAAATCTGCTACCATCCATTTTTTATAGATATAATTACAACCTAATAGGCATCATGTAATCAAGACTTAACAATCAGGTTCTTAAATCCAAAACTTGATCATTTTCTTCCTTGATATATGTACAAAATTTTCTCCCAGGTGGTGGTCACATAAAGTGAAGGATGGAGGCACTGTTAAAGCCCTCATCATAATGGCCTTCCTAAAGTGCTAATTATTACACAATTAAGACAGACATAAACTGACTAAAGAGCCTAAGAAAATATAATGCAATCTCACAACAGCTTTTCAAATTTTTTCCCATCTCCAAACTACCTACAAAAAAAAAAAAAAAAAAAAAAAAAAAAAAAAGCTCAAAATACAAAGTAAGACCTCTTGCCTATGACTTCGAAAACAAGCAAATAAAGTTGGGAGTTGCACCAAACCTCCCCCTGGTTCTTAACATCACCTAATCAGATCTTTAAAGGAGGAAAGAACCCTATTTGTTACCTTGTTTCCCATCCCACATTTTAAGAGATAAGAAACCCCAGCCCTGAAAAGTGAGTATTTTCCTAAGGCACTCAAGGTGAAACCTGGACTAGAACCTAGGTGTCCCTCCACACAAAACAAGATTTTGTACTCTTACTCCACCCCCACTATGGGGGTGGGGAAAAGTGGAATTTTGAGGGCCTACAATCTTAAGTCTGATCACTGGGTCTCTCACATCTAATTACAATATCCAGCCTCATTTTCAACCAAATAAGATTAATTCTTAGTCACAGTGCTTAACAGTAACTCCTACTACTCCCAGCATCCCACACCCTAGTTTGAAAGACAGGCAGGTCACTAATTAGTGCATCTTCTTTGAGAGCCTCTAATTGCCTTACCACACCCAAGACCCTTTTGGCTAGACTAAGCTTCTTTACAGACCTAATACACCAAACAAGAGACACACAGTTGGGCAAGAAACCTACTGAGAATCAGAAAATCCTGAAAGGGGTCTATTTATCACTGAAAAGAGAAATCTTAAGCCCTTTATAGTTTTGCATTCTCTTTCATTTCCCAAAAGGTGTAAGAGGTCTCCCAGTAAATCTAAACCAAGCCCCTGCTTTTAAACATAGCTGTCCAAGGACTCTGTGGGTGGCTGCAGGGGACAGACCTAATCTTTCCCTAAGCAAGATTTGAAGGATTAGAGCATTAGAGAAACAAAGCATTAAAGAAACAAAGCCTTGAAGTCCAATAATTTCTCCTAAAATAGCCTCATTAAGGCAAGTTTTACTCGGTCTTCCAAAGAATCCCAATTCAAAAATAAGAAAGTAGCTAACACTGAGAGCTTCACCACAAAGCATCCCAATCAACCTTTCATTATTCCCATTCTCTAGGTTAGACATTTAACTCTTGGAAAGGTGGAGTCACTTTGAATAGGGACCCCGAATTGTAAACCTGAGGTGTAACAAGTCCTTAAACAGGAGAGTTCCTATTCCTCTCCTCAGCTTATTTTAACACCAGCATGTGCAACCCAGGCTATCTGCTCATCCAGGGGCCTAAGTGTGTCCTTTACAACCCGAGAAGGTAGAGCCCAAGAGCAGCTCTACTAAGACGGAAAGAGCAAATGGCACCATGCTTCCATGACGAAAGGGGACATCACAAGCTGCAGAATATGTCCAGCCTAGCCCCCTTCCCTCTCATTCAAGGATCAAGTGAAATGCACTACAGTCCCATAGGCTTAAGACATGAGATGGAAATTTTAAGAATTCTTTCAAAGGACATAGGTCATTATCCGCAACTTTGGAAAACTACTTCAGATTACTTGGTTTTGGGAGTAGAGAATCAGTACAGAATGCTTCTCAAGCAAATGAATCTACAAAATTAGAAAATTCAGCTTACTTAAAATAACTTACAGTAAAAGTTTAAAACTAAACTTTAAATTTAGTATGGGGAAGCAGATGACGTATGAAATTTTTTTATTCAAACACTAATTTAGATCTTCATCCAATATGGGTGCCTTCAAGGGCAATGAATCCACTTTTTAAATCTCCTCACAGGATCCCGTTCTTATTAAACAGAAGCCACAGGAAAATTGGCATTAACATTTTCTTCCAGCTTGTTGGAAGGAAAGGCACCTTATTTGAGAGCTTACCAGATCAAGAACACATTTTATACCAATACACTCTACAGTTGGACCCAGCAGAGATCTATAAATCAAGGCTAAGTAATTGTGAACTGTATAGCAACTGCCCCTACCCCATTTTCACATTTTATTTCAATTTGGAGCTACCTAAAGACACAGAAGGCCACCAGACTATTTCTCAAAATGGCCCGTTCTGTTTGGAAGTAGGTACACTTACCCAGGAATATCTGCTGTATGAAATAAATATTAGGAACCTTGAAGAAATACAATAACATTACTGGAAATAGGCTCAAGTTTAATATTTTTTAAAATAACATTTAAAACTTAACTGCTACTTTATTTCTTTTAAACTAGAAGAAATTTTCACAGGTAGAAGAGTTTTAAAGCTACAAGGGATTTCAAAATTAAAAAGTAATTAATATTTCTTCTCCTGAATGTTGCGCTTGAAAGGAAAAGTTTTACTGTCATTTATTCAATATAAAGTATGTCTTTGCCTTCAAGGGCTGCATAGTTTTCAGATGAGTAAATTTCTTGCAAGCAGAAATTCCAGAATATCAATGATCCTCACCACCACAAGTGTCCTAGCTAAGGGACTTTAGTTTTAAACAGAAATCAATAACATTAAGAATGCCAGATGTCACTGTTATTGACATTTCTTGATCCAGTCAGGGCTTACCGAGGTCACTATCTGACAACAGAATGTTCAGAAATTAGTTATCCAAATCAAAATGCAGAAAATGTCTAAATCAGCACATCTGAAACTTGAAATTAATTCTATTAGAATATTTAATGTGTAATCATACACAGAAAAATAAGTTGGCACCCTTTGTCACCAACACCCCATTTTGCATTTTAAAGGGGGAAGGGACTCCCACAGCATTCTCTTCTAAGAAGTTCTGCAACCAGGAATTGACAGGTGGAGCCCTGATTGATAAGGGTGGTTTAGACAACATCTCAGGTCTCCTCCTTACCCACCTCATTCCATGACTAATGGGAGAGGGGAATAACTAAAGTGCAAGACTGTTAATCTGTTTTGTTTTTTGGTTTTTTAAGTGCAGGTGTGTTCCACAATTGAAGAAAGAGGTTAAGATTCTATACACACCCTGAGTTCCATTTACTCAATTTCTACTTAAGCAACAAACTAGGACAATGAAACCAATATAGGAAAAAGAAAATGCATGGAGTAGGTGAACTACTCCAAGGTGCATTTTTAGCTCATGTGACCTTCCAAAGTGCTCCAAGTATGTTGTACGTAGATGTGTGGGCATGTGTGTATTTATAGAAAGTGTCGAGAGTGCTATAAAAAAAATACATGAATAAATCATAGATATGTTAGTGCTACAAGGGACTTCCAAACACTAGCCCACAGCCTCAATTTTTAGACAGAGAAAGCAAGCCCCAAGACATGGCCAAACTTTCTAGTGATAGAACTTGCTAGTAATAGAACCTCGTCATATATAGCAATCAAGTTTTCAACTCCTGAAGACAATCTTGCCTCCAAAGTACTCCAATTCCATGGCTTTATTCTTAAATTTATCCCTCCCCTAAAAAGATGACTGTCCACTCCGCCCTACAATACAGATTCCAAGTTTTAAGACTCAGATGGGCCTAACCCTGTCTTCCAAGAACCCATTAGTCTCGCCCAGTGGTTCTCAAAGTTTGGCCTGGGAACTTACGAGTACTCTGAGACTTCCTAATATATCTAGGAGGTCAAGAGAATGCCTTTTTCTCTCATAAATGTACAGTAGAGCTTTCTAAAGGTTTTCTGATAACTGCTTCTGCATTAAGTCTGTTGCAATAAGAGAACAGAGTTGACTATATCTATTAAGCCAGACAATAAAGAGATGCAAAATGTAAAAGTATGTCACCCCTTATTTCAGAAAAACATACATATTCCTCACTTTAAAAATATTTTTGTTAATATGTAACGGGTTTACTATTTAACTAAACATGTTTTTAAACTTTCTGATCTTAATTTCTTATATAGTAAATATTGAAAAAACACAAACAAAAGGGGTCCTCAATAACTGAAGCACATAAAAGGATCCTCTGATCAAGAAGTTTGAGAATTACTGGTCTAATTCATTACTACATAAGCTCCCCTTTATGGTGAATCCCTTTAGCACATACAGATAAACCTTAGAACAGATTCCAACTGCTCTCTTTACCCTCAAAGGGATGTTCCTCCAGCTCTGGGAATATGTAAACTACTTCTTATGCCCAGTACTACCCTGATTTATAACAAAAAAAATTAATCACCTCAACTTCCTTTAATATAAAAATTTTACATAAACATGGTAGGGGAAGAATATAACTGTATACTTTGATTCTCAGAAAAGATGCTTTCTAAAGCATAACAAGCTATTACATTTTCATGTTGCATACTTACGCTGGTTTACAAAAATGCGTGAGTATCTTATGAGTCTCTCTACAGAATAAAAGCATGCCAGAAAGCAGTTTTTCACTTTCATTTGGGGGTTTCCACACTAGTCAGGCACCCAAGCACGTTCCAGTATCCTCTGGAAGCCCTGGTTCCTTTCTCAAGGCCCCTTTCGCCATTATCAGCCCACATCTTTTGCTTCAGTTTTCCTCACACTAAGCCATCCTACAAAATTGTCCCAAGTTTGGCTCTCTCAAACAAAAAATCAGAAATGTTCCTGCATGCATTTCAATGTCCTCTAAAAATCCACCCATTTTCCAATAATCAAAACTGTTTCCTTATGCTAGGAGTACATCACACTTAATCTTCTCCAAGAAAAAAGAAAAAGACTTCCTCTACTTGCATACTTGCATAAAAGCTCTCCACAAGTGCTACTCACATCTACCTGGTTTCAGGAACCTTTTCCCAATGTTTGCGGCAGACATTACCAAACTCCTAAACTCACGTTTTCTGCCTCTGGACTGTCAATCAGACTTGTAGAACTTAACAGTAACATCCACATCCTAGTGTTTCTGAACACCCAAGGACCAGGCACAATGCTCAGCTCAAGGCAGGCACTGAATGCTAACAAAGAACTTACATATAGGGAAAGTGGAAATCTACTGAAATGCTCTGAAAAGCCCAAGAGGAATCAGCTTTTGAAGTAATTAGTAATTCTAATGTAATAAGCTCTGCAAATTAAAAATATATATATTTGATGCAAAAAAGATAATAACCACAGAACTGTATAAAAGACAGATTTGTTTTCGGTGTAGATTTGAAGGAATTTTTTTGAGATGGAGTCTTGCTCTGTCGCCCAGGCTGGAGTGCAATGGTATGATCTCAGCTCACTGCGACCTCCACCTCCTGGGTTCAAGCAATAAAAGGCAGAAATATTTAATTCCTTCAAATCTACACCTGAGAGGTTAACAATTTCACGAACAATTTCAACACTTTCAAAGAAAATACAATCATGTAAAGTCACAGGTGAGGAATAGTAAATACTTAACACACGGACATAGCTGTGTGAATGCTTTCTGAATCTTTTTATATTTCAAGATCAGCACATATTCTTTAAAGATTACTATATAATAGAAGAACATCCTCATTAATTTAACCAGTCTCCTACTGACGAACATTACAAGGTTTTGCTATTTTAAACAGTGCTTACAATTTTAAATACCTCATACAGAAAAGCAAAAATGTAAATTTAAAGATAGAAATCGCTGGTTCGTAGTCTATTTGCATTTTTAATTACGCCAGTCTCTGCCAAAAAAAACCTTCTAACAACTTATCAGTTTGCAATCCCACCAAAGCATAATCAACATTTTCAAAAAAGAAGTAATGCAGCAGTGTAGAGGAAAGGGTACTGGGAGAAGGAAAGGCAAGTCAGGAACCAGCTACTGGGTTACAGTCACCAACCACAATCACTATACCTAAGGCTTTAGACAACACATCTGAGCATCGGTTCTGAAAGTATATAAAATGAGAGTGCTGTTCAACACTATGGGTAGGGCCTTTCCAGCTGTAACATTCTCTGATGTCCTTCAATTTGTTATATATAAGAAATGTATATTAAATATCAAGACAGATTGCTTATTCTCTTCGGCTACCCAAGAACAACAAATAAATGCTGAGAAAATCAGCTGCAGCACTGGGAACATAAACGCTCTGATAAAACCCCTGCTAGGAATTTCAAAATGGAGGTGAAATTGGGACTGAAGGAAATGACCACCTAACAGAAAAGATAAGCCATTTCAAAGATGAAAAACAAAAAGAGACATCAACCATTTGGGGGTTTTCCTAGTTTAAAACAAACCACATATCTGTAAAAGAAATATGGATAAATGGCTATAACAAAGCAAGGGTCAAAGTACCCTCATGGCTACTAATAAAAATTTACAAACATCCCTTTCAAGTGTACCATTTGAGAGACTGGATATTAACAAGAGATATGATTTTCTAAGCTAAATAAAAGCTTTCATTAACAAGAAGTGGTAGGATCACAACCCTGCTGCTAATAAACTGCCAATATATCCAAGGTCTTCAATAAAGAACTGCCCATTTAACATAACGCATCTTTAAAATGAGTTGCTTTGGAATGAACAGTCCTATGTCAAGGCAGGCCTACAACATACATAACAGATAGAGCTGCTATTGTACTTTGGGTTTGCATGTGTGCTCATGCACAAGCATGAGTCTGGCAGATACCACAGGAGAACATGGCCCAGTAACGCTTCTTCAAGTTAGCCATCAATGATTAGAGCATCTAGAGCATCTACCTTAGACCTCAACTCTCTATCTGCTTCCAAAGTTACTCAGAGCAGAGCAGAAAGCATTCTTCTGATAGCCGAAGAGGGTTCCACACAGCTATGAAATGATTGGCCCAGTGGTCATCCATGGAGACCTCTCCTTATTGGTGGCAAACACAGCTGCATCAGTCCAACCATGCAGCAGCCAGTATCCTTTTAATGTAGCATGCTTTGAAACTGTAAAAACAGGTCATAAACACATGTAAAAAGGCATGGTTTCAGCCTAGTCAAAGTGGTTACAGAAGCATCACTCCATGTTTTTTTCTGGGTCGTCCAAGTAAATTAAACTCATCAACTAGACTGCAAATAGATACCACAAATTCTTAATTATTCACAGGGATGGATGAAAAGAAATAGTACTGTAATACAACGGTCAACTTAAAATATTAAGTTAATCAGTATCCCGCACTTAATTACCATCCTATAGTAATAAGTGAAATCTAAAAAATGGAATGTTTGATATAGTTTAAATATTAACAATTTTTATTAACTCCAATTGGTCAAATATGTAAGTTATACAACTTAATAGTAACCAAAATACCAAGGCCCAACAATTAAAAGAAAAAAGAAACCTTCCATGTAATATTTACCTTTAGCATATATAATTTTATAATTAACCTTCATTTTAAAGACACAGGCCCTACTAGATTCAAGAAATCAGACTAGCCATGTGAGGTGGCTCAGGTATGTAATCCCAGCACTTTGGGAGACCAAAGTAGGAGGATCCCTTAAGCCTAGGAGTTCAAGACCAGCCTGGGTAAGATGGTGAGATCCCTATCTGTACTAAAAAAATTTAAAAATTAGCCAGTTGTGGTAAAGCATGCCTGTAGACCCAGCTACTCAGGAGGCTGAGGCAGGACGATCCCTAAAGCCCAGGAATTCGAAGCTACAGTTAACTATAAAAATGTCATTGCACTCTAGCCTGCGGAACAGAGGGAGACTTAATCTCTTAAAAAAAAAAAAAAAAAATCAGCCAGGTGCGGTGGCTCACGCCTGTAATCCCAGCACTTTGGGAGGCCGAGATGGGTGGATCACCTGAGGTCAGGAGTTCGAGACCAGCCCGGCCAACATGGTAACACCCCATCTCTATTTTACTAAAAAAAAAAAAAAAAATCAGTAATGAGACAATAGAACCTACTATATTCAGGAAAAAAAGTTTTAAGAATCACTAACATCAAAGAGCTTCCAATAGAGTTGAAAATAACATTTAAGTTGTGCCTAAAATTTTAAACCAATTTAAAAAGCTGTTAAGAAGAGACCAGATATCCAAGGCAATGGGAAGTTGTTACTCAAGTGCCCACTCCCTGACCAGCTCAACTCTCATACCTGCTGGCCCTGTATTGCCCAAAGTAAAATTCTCCTCTCCTGAACTAAAACTTGGTTTACTTCTCTCCAGATTCCATCAAGAGTAGAGGCTACTACTATCTATATTTTCAGTAGCTTCTTTGTGCACCTAAAGAAAAGGGGCTACAATCTAAAAGCTGTGATGAAATAATATCCACCTAGAAAAAATAATGCTATACCCACATCAAATCAAACAATTGTAAGTGGTATAAACTAAAAGGCGTGGAAAGTTTGTTTTATTTTCCTAAAGACTAGCTTATATTAAAAGTAACTGTTTGCCAGAGTCCACCTCTCTGAGGAAACTAAAAGCATAGTCAAGTAAGCTTAATAATCTAATAAGTAGGTCAGAAAGACACTATTTTAAAATATCATGTCTTTGTCATGCATTCACTGTACTGTTTAGTTCTGGTGACCTGTATGAATGAAGAAACTAGCCAGATGGAAGAGTCACTTCCTTATTTTCCTTAACTTGTTTTTCCTTGTCTTTTCCAATTGCTTAATTTCCCAGACTCTACCTGTATCTTACAAACATACCTACCCCTTTAGGATTAAGGAACTCCATAAAAACCACTGACACTTTTTAAAAAAGTATTTTTCAATACTCTTAAACAACAAATGTCTTCCAAAGTTTCTACAAAGAAAACTGCCTAAGTCTCTTCCACCACAGTAAATATTTTAAATACATGGTATTTCTTTTTAGTTATAATTTAAATGAATACTGGAAGGAATACAATATGGTAAAGCAGTGAGTTGCTGTCAGAAGAATTATCTAAAAGGTCATTCATAAACAAACCAAATACTACAATCAATGACAAAAAACAACTGTGGATGAATTAGTGAAATCCTAACTTAAGCCAAGCAAAAAGCCTAACAGATATTCCTCTTAAGTTCTTACCACATCTTTGATATATTACAAAGTGTTACTTTTAAAAATATCGATAATATTTAAAAACCCAATACACACAGCCCATTTTCAAAGCCATGGGTGAAGAAAATAAAGGATCTAAGACAATGCAGATCTCAGTGCCAGGCTCTGCATTCACAGTATAGTTTTCAAAGTAAACGCTGCCAAATTATGCTGTCCTACAGAGAACATTAAAATTGGTTTCTCATAAAAAAATAAAAGTCAGATCTACGGTGGGATACAAGCTAGGTGGCATGAGAATCAGCTCCAGGACTCAAAGTTCACCATGAATATATCGAAGAGAACAGTTTAATTTCAGGAACCTTTATTTTTATGCCTATAAAATTAAAAACTAGTCTGTTTTTATGTACAGCAAAATTAAGGTAACTAGGAAGTCAACAAGTGGCTTTCATTAACCACCTCCCACACTGTGTTATAAGCCTTAAAGGTTATTTTCCTTCACAGCACAAATCACAATTACATATAATAATTTGTAGAAGTTTAACATAACATCTCCTCTAATACACTCTAAGTTCCATATCTGCAGGGAGTATAGTGCATTCACTAGTACAGTCTTAATACCTAAGATAGTATGTGGCACATAGTAAGATCACAAATATTTACTAAACAAATGAAATTTTGCACAGGAAACCAAGAAATGTTCAAACGTAGGCTGGCAAAAGAGTTGTACAATTTTAAAAAACAGCGGGGCAGAAAAGGCTGAATCAGTGATCAAAAACAGTAAATGGAAGGACAGTCAAAATGAGCAAAATGCCATTCACGTCAAGAAGCCAGACATAATAAAATCATAAAATGTTACATGCCAGAAGGGAGAGAAAAGTTTGAAGTTTTAAAGTGGCTACTAACAAAAATTTTAGATATAAACATTTCAAATATTCATAGGCTATTTAATAAACTGTCATCAAATTGCCTCATTTTTTTGAGATGATAACAGAATAATCACAGAATGGGAGAGAGAAAGAAATGTTAGCCATGATGAAAAATTCCTTATGGATAAAGTTCCAGAAAATTCCTCAACAAGATTGAAATATAACACCCAAAACTTAACAAAGTCCCTGGATCTCTTAAGGCTTCTGAATTCCATAGGGAACTGGGGAACTAGAGAAGCATTTTACCCAACAAAATCTTTGGTACTCGGCCAGGCACGTGGCTTACGCCTGTAACACCAGCACTTTGGGAGATTGACGAGGGTGGATCACGAGGTCAAGAGATCGAGACCATCCTGGCCAACAGGATGAAACCCCATCTCTATTAGGAAAAAATACAAAAATTAGCTGGGTGTGATGGTACACATCTACAGTCCCATCTACCTGGGAGGATGCGGCAAGAGAATCACTTGAACCCAGAAGGCAGAGGTTGCAGTGAGCTGAGATTGCACCACTGCACTCTAGCCTGACAACAGACAAATAAAACTTTGGTAGTCTATGCCAAATTTAAGAAACACAACAGAAATTAAATAGAAGTGGTACATATTCATTAAGGTCAAAGTTTAAGGTTACGATGTCCTATAAAATGTAATGATGAGTAAAATGCTATTGAGCCTTCACCCTCAACAATTAACTTCCGCTTCATCCTATGATGTTCTAAATTACAGTTAAACAGTACAGAGCAGTCTTGGCAGGGTCCCACCAGACTGCTTTGTTCATAGCCTGTTGGGCCAATTTTATACCAGAGGCACCTGCTTGAAATATGTAAAGACAATTCGATAACCTTATTTTCTCGGGTTTACATCAGCTTTGTATAGCACAAGGATAATATTTATACTCTAGAAAGAGTAAAATATTTGCAGAGATAATAAATCAGAGAATATGTTAGCATGCAGCTACTTCAGCTTCTCAATTACAAGACATTTTGGATTAAAAGATGCATCACTAACCTCATAGCTTTGGGGGACATGGAATCACAACATTAAGTAAACTTATGAGACTCTAAAGCAACATAAAAATTGCTTATTTAAGACATGAAAAAAATGGGATTAGTTAAGTCAGTATTTTTTTGCAAAAATTTCCCTGTAGAGATTGAAATTCTAATAAGATTACCAATCATTCATGATTTACTTACAGATGCAAATAACTTTCAATTGATTATCAGTCTCATGCACTATATACTTTTCTTTAAATTATTATCTTTATTCCAGACTTTGAGTTCTACTGTTCTAGTGACCTTCACAAATATTTTGTGAATTTCTACTATAAACACACTATGTGAGAGATCAAGTAATGAACAGGGCAGATGGCCTCTTTCTAGGGAAAAGAAAAAAGATGATTTTGAATCTAATTCTTTGTCATCCACCCCCAACCAATTTTTCTGACAGTAAAGTTGGAGAAATACTGAAAATTTACTGGAGAGAAGTTAATCAAGAACAAACTTTACTGGGTGGATATTTTGTTTATTCA